AACCAACACTATAAAGCTAAAGAAGACTGCAACCAAACAGAAGGCCACACCCTCTTGGTCTTGATATCTACAAACAAAATTATGTTTAACATTAGACAGATGCGGCGCCATTTTATTCATGTTGAGGATACTGCTAGGACATTCTCATCAAAGGTGCAATTAATTTAGGGCTATGAACCTTATTTAATTGCAAAATATTACTGGTTGTCATGGGAAAGTTAAGCTTTCTGCTCATTTTTCTTTGGGCAAGTCGACTATTGAGATTATAGACATTAATTTAAACTTTGGTATTCAATCTTCCTGATATAATGTTATAGTTTAACCATGTATAATATAACCTAAGCTAATACAATCTTAAACCGATTAATCAACCTAACAATAATAAATCCATATTTGACATACAACGGCCACCTCTACGAGCAAATATTTGATCTGCCTATGGGCTCACCACTCTTACCTCTGTTGGCTAATATCTACATGGATAAGTTAGAGGAGAATTTCAAAATTTCACCTCAGAAGCCGAAAGTAATTATGCGATATTTGGACGACTACTTCGCAATCTGGTCGTATGGAAAGGAAGACTAGACGATTTCCTGATCTTTATACACTAACTGGAGGAAAAAGTCAAATTCACCATTTATATGGAAGAGAACAGACACCTAACTTTCTTGAATTTAGAGATCGTTCGCTTCGAGAAAACTCTCAAGAAGCGACTTTTCTAAAAATAATCGCATGCTGGAATAACTATTACTTTTCAGTCTAACTATACTCAGGGAATGAAAGATATAATACTCCGTAGTATAATCATAGGAAGCCCACGACTTACTGACTCTGTGTTCTGGGGAGAGGAATTGGGAAAACTAATTCAGATGTGGCTTGGAAACGGATATTCAGAAGAAGCAATACAACGCAACATATAGATGGTGGTGAATAGATGGAAGGAAGGAGATTATGAAATAAAAGCAAGAGAAACAGATGAAAAACTATGCATATGACTACCCTCCCGCCAATTGGCCCGGAAGCTACGGCCTATACTAAGTAAATGGAACATTCGTACAATCCTGAAGGAAAGAACAATCCTCTTCGCTAGCTTGACCATACAGCATGGAGAGGTTAAAAAATTGGAGCGCTCCAGAGTTTACAGCATAAACTGCAATGACTGTAAACTGAATAACATCGGAGAGGCTGGAAGGACAATCAGCACAAAAATCAAAGAACATCAGCGACTATGCAGAAAAATGGATACCGAAATATCTGAGATAGCTGAACACATCGCCCTTGCCAGTCACATAATTAAATAGAGTGCAACGGAAAGACTGATCTAATATTATGAGAACACTAGGAAACGGAAGATTAGGAGGCTTTGGCATCCTTTTTCAAAGATGGACATGGGAGTAGAAGAAGGAAGAGTCAGCGATAATATCTCGTATTGCCTTAGCAGACTTGGAGACTCAGCGAAGACATAAAAATGGGAGGCTTGGATCCAGGACAACTGTTCAACAATAGATGAGACATAACCACGAAGCGTTACATGAGGGACAAGTCGATTACAGTGAGAGGAGTCAAACCTGAAATTGACCAAATATTTACCCGGGGAGGTCTACCTGTGAGATGTAGGATATATACTTAAAGGCTAAAAGAAGAGGTAAGTCAGATATAGGTCACCAGTGCGTGTGCGTAGGTGCTTGTGTGCCTTTTTCGTGTCTGTGCCTGAAAGGGAGATGACTAAGGACATTTTTGACCATGGGGGACATGCACATGAACATCATCCTAGTACCCTAGGCTTAGATGGGAGTGTCAATTTGAAGGATGAGAGGAGTGTGCTTTTCGCGATTCAAGGAAGAAAAACGGGAAGCGGTGCATTTTCACACCAACGACTATGATTTAAGTCAGACACCGGATCTCAAAGAATGAGACACAATGTTGGGGGGATGAAGAAGAAGATAATCGAATCGTGGGTATGAAGCCTAGGGAGAAGATTCTGAGGCGTTGACACGGCCATCGCCCGCTTTAAATCTTCGAATATGGCGTAATCAGAGACGGAAATTGAAGGCCAGATTTCAAATAGACAGACAGTGATTTTGATGTTTAGCTGCGATTAAATGACAATCGGGTTAAGAGAAAGAGGGAAGAATGTAGATCAGGAGCCCTGCTAACGACACTTGATACCGACGGTAGAGATGATTACGCTTCACTAAACACACCATTAGTCGAAATTGGAGGAAACAAGAGCACAGAATTGTGTGAATAGGTTACTGGGACATATGAAGTGGGGTTGAGAGAAAGAGATGAGGCACTAAAAATTAGGACAAAAATAGGTACGAGGAGTGATGTCAGAACGGTTGGACAGAAAATCGGTCTAAGGGGTTGTTTTTACTTGTCACTTTGGTAAGTTGTAACTCTCTGCTGATGATTGCACCTCTCACTGACGATGCCGGCAAAACTCTTGGGAATGTACCAAGTCAATGGTCTGAAGTCGGAAATCACGAATACTATGGCAAATGACACAGGACCAGATACGTTCCACAAGGTCCCCCCGACGCTCCGACCAAGTTGCGAAAGCAATATCAAACCAGCACTATAAGGCTTAAGGAGATTGTCACCAAATATAAGGCCACACTATTTTAGTCTTTATATATATGATCTAAATCAATCCTATTTAGATTTATTTTCAACATTACATTTATTTTTCTATCAAAACTTCTCGAAGCTTCCTTATTCTAATTTATTTTACGTTTAGTTTCTTTAGCTCAATATCTATTTAATTTACTCGTAGCCTTATCAGCTTCACAAAGTCCTAGCATGCACCCACAAATATGATGAATAACTATCGATATAATGCCTACTTTATCATTTATATAGGCCACTATGGGCCTGAGAGGATATATAAGTACATTATTTTCATACCAATTTCTACAAATGTAGTTATTTGCTCCATTTTATAAATCAAATTGCTTGTATTAC